CTTTCTCTCTGCTTATTGCTGTGTGCTGTCTTCTCATTACGGTGGCTTTTCCTTGGAGCACAGGTTTACAGTGCATGGGCTCAGCAGTCGCGGCTCCCGGGCCCTAGAGCGCCGGCTCAGCAGTCGCGGCTCCCGGGCCCTAGAGTGCTGGCTCAGCAGTTGCGGCTCCCAGGCTTAGCTGTTCCTTGGCATGTGGGACCTTCCCGGTCCAGGAATTGAACTTGTGTCTCCTGCATTGGCAGGTTGGTTCTTATCCACTGTGCCACCAGGAAGTCCTATTTTTTTTGTTTTTTAAAGGAAAAGGAGTTGTATGTATTGATGTGGAAATATATCCTTGGCATACTATCGAATGAAGATTAATTTGTGAAATGACAGCTGTGCAGTGTGGGTAACCATGACTGGACCCGTCACAGTAGCCTGGGATCTGTTAAACCTAGGTCCATGGATCTTGTTTTAGAAAGCTGGAATACATGTATCTTCATGTTTGAGCAAATATATGGGTCCTCACAGCCTTATTTAGCCAGACTTCTGTTTTGTGTAATAGTGACCCATGGTAATGTTTGACAGGGCAAGGCCAAAAAAAAAAAAAAAAGAAAAATTTACTACAATGTTAAATACAAAAGGTTTTTTTTTTCTTATTTAAAATTCTTTATAGAAGATAATGGATTGTATAAACAAAAATAATAATATAGTATGGTGTTCATAGCATGACATTTAAAAATGCACAGTAATAGTAGTACAGGTATTAAGAGGGAAATAAACTGTTGTCAAGTTTTAATACTATAAATGAAGTACTGCCATATAACTTGAAGGTAGGCTGTGTTGATTAAAGACATACACTATAAACTTTACCACAGCCAGTAAAATAAAAGAACAAAGAGTTATAGCTAATAAGACAACAAAGGAAATAAAACAGTCATTAAAAAATACTGTAACAAAATACTTAAATAAAAAGTAACACTCTTCAGTGTAGCAAACAAGACATCAAGAAGGAATTGAAAAATATTTTAATTTCAATCCAAAAGAAGGCAGGTACAGGGGAGCAACAACAAAAAACATAGTCTCCAACGTAATCATAACAAAAAACCATGTTAAATGAAATTGGCCTAAAAACTCCAATTAGAAGACAAGTGTTGGTAGATTGCATGAAAAAGTAAGATCCAATTACATGATACTAGAGAAAGTACACTATAAAGCCAGGAAAAGGATTTAGGGTAAAAGGGTGGGAAAAGATAGAACTTAATATTCATCAGAAGAAAGCTGGAGTGGCTGTACTGATGTCAGACAAAGCAACTTTCAGAGCAGGTAATATTACCACAGACAGAAATCCTTATTTCATAATGATAAAAAGTGAAGTTGCTCAGTCGTGTCTGACTCTTTGCGACCCCATGGACTGGGACCTACCAGGCTTCTCCGTCCATGGGATTTTCCAGGCAAGAATATTGAAGTGGGTTGCCATTTCCTTCTCCAATAATGATAAAAGGGGTCAGTTAAGCAACAAGACATAATAATCCCTAATGTTTATGCATCTAACAGGAGATTTCCAAAATACACGAAGCAAAAGCTGATACAGCTTCAAGGAAAAATAAAAAATGCACAAATGTAGCTAAAGATTCCAGTACCCCTCTCTCAATAATCGAAAGAACAAAATAGGCAGAAAATCAGTAAGGTTATAGTGGCTTAAGCAATGTTCTCAACCAGGTCAAGCTGGCATTTATGGAACACTTCAGCAATTTAATACACATGTTCCTCAAGTATATGTGGAATATTTACCAGGATACGATGTGTTTGGGGACATTAAAAAAAGTCTCAGTAAAAGGGTTCAAGGCATACAAAGTTTGATCGCTGATCTCTGTTAGTCAGCTGGGGTTGCCATAACAAAATACCACAGACTGGGTAACGTAACAGAAATTTTTCTCATAGTTCTGGAGGCTGTAGATCCAAGGTCAGAGTGCCACCGTAGTTGGGTTCTGGTGAGCTATGTCTCCCTGGCTTGCAGATGGCTACCTTCTTACCAGGCGCTCGTGTGCATGGTCTTTTTGGGCGTATGCCTGCTCTGGGAGGGAGAGGAGGGGAAAAGGAGAGAGGAAGAGAGAGAGATCTGTTAGAAGGATACCACTTCAGTTGGGAGGGCCCCACCCTCAAGACCTTAGGAAAATTACCTCCCAAAGGCTCCATCACCAAATACCATCCACCATATTAAGGGTTAGGGCTTCCACAAATGAACCTTGTTGGGGACCCAAACATTTGATTACTAACAAATCACAACTGGATTGAGCAGAGAAAGCTCTCGAAAATCCCCAGATGTTTGGAAACAAAAAGTAACACTCTTGTAGCAAACAAGACATCGAGAAGGAATTGGAAAATATTTTGAATTAAAGTGAAAACATACAAAATTTATGGACTGCTGCAAAAGCAAAGGGAATTGTAGCTCCAAATACCTGGATTAGAATAGAGGAAAAAATTTTCAATGACTTAAACCTTTTACCATTTCTGACTAAGCTAGGGAAATGGAGCAAATTAAACTGTATTCAGTAGACAGAAGGAAGGAATAAAGATCAAAGCCAAAGTAAATCAAATAGATTTTCTCTGTGGAGAAAAATGGCTGAAACTAAAAGCTGATTTAAAAAAAAAAAAATCAATAAAGTTGGTAACCCTCTAGCCAGACTAACCTGAGGGAAAAAAGAAGAAAGACTTAATATCAAGGACAAGAGGTGATATTACTAGAGTGTACAGATATTAAAAGGATAATAAGGGATGACCATGAACAACTTTATGCCAATAAATTTGACGACTTAGATGAAATGGATAAATTTTTTGATTTATGTATAAGTGACAGTCTATACTCAAGGTCACTCAAGAAGAAACAGGTAGCCTGAGTAGGCCTGTACTCACTAAAGAAACTTAAAATTGCCACAGTGTTTTCCGCAATGGCTCCAGCAGTTGACAGCCCCACCTGCAGCGTGTGATGTTTCACAGCCTTGCTGACTTTATCTGATGCTTCGGTCACACCCCTCCTAATTGGTACCTCATTGTGATTTTGACTTGTATTTCCCTGATGAATAGTGTTGTTTAAGAACTTTTCATGTTCTCACTGGCCATTTGCTTATCTTCTTTGGCAAGAGATATATTCACTGTCCGCCCACCTTTTATTTGGGTTGTCTTTTTATTATTGAATTGGAGGAGTTCTTTCTATATTCTAAACGTAAGGCCCTTCCCAGATACATAAGAGCACATATTTTATCCCATCTTTTGGGGTTCTCTCTCCTTTTCTTTTTTTTTTTTTAAGTATTCCTTGGCGCTCACAAGGTTTTTAATTTTGTTTAAGTCCAATTTACCAATTTTTCAGTTGTGTTTTTTGGTGTCATAAGTAAGAATCCACTGCCAAATCCAAGGTCACAAAGATTTTGTCCCAAGTTTTATAGTTTTAGCTCTCAAATTATTTAAATTTAAATCAATTAAAATGAAATGGAATGCAGAATTCAATCCTTCAGTTGCAGTCGCACATTTCAAGTGTTCATGGGCTCATGTCTACCAAATAGGTCAGTGCAGGGTACAGGGCATTTCCACCATCACAGGAAGTTCTTTTGGACACACAGATATTTTAAATGAAGGCAGTAGTAGAAAATAAGCTAAGGACTTGAACAGTTCAAACAAAGAGAAAGAAATGGGCAAGGTCAGTACATAAAATTGTTTAGTGGTTAAAGAATTCTAAATTAGGACATGTACAGCATTTTTAGTTCCCCAGATTGAATGTGTCTACTTTCTTCAGGTCTGACTCAGAAATAGTACCAATGAGCCCTGCATGCCCCATTTAAAATTTCAGATCTACCCTCTCCATTTCCTGCCTTTTTCCTTAGCTGTTACCATTAACATACCATATACCGTATTTAATTTTTCTTGTTTATTGTCAGTCTCCCCACTCTTCAAATATAAAATCCATGAGAGCCTGTTTTTCTCTCTACTTGTTGTCTCTCCAGTACCTAAAACACTCTCGGATACAGCAGTAACTCAATACATGTTACTGTTGAGGGAGAGCTGATATGGTGAAGAGAAACAAGTGCTCTTGATAGCTTATGGTGTACAATGTTGAATTCATGATCTCTAAAGATTTAGCTTTGGGACCAGGGACCAGGCTTGATCACTCAAGACCTTTTGTGTAGCAGAGTTTTATTAAAGTGAAAAAGGGACAGAGAAATCTTCTGACACAGACATCAGAAGGGGGACGGAGAGTACCCCGTCCCTAGTCTTAGCAAGGCCTTACATACTTTCTACCAGACCTACTACAACATACATCTTAAGTTAACAAGATTAGAACTAACAATAGAAAGGTCTCACCAGACCCACTCTCGCAGTATACAAGTTTTAAAATAACGAGATTAGTCAGAAGGTTCTTTTTAAGGAGAAAAACTTCTCTAGCAAGATAAGTTGTTATATAGTCATTGGTACAGAGTTTAAGGGAAAACATATATCCTTGAGCAAGATGAGTCGTTTTGTTGTGCAATCATCAGCTCTGGGCTTAAAAAAAATGTTTGTCCTTTTCTCCTCCTTGAGAACTCCAGACCCCTGTCTCCTCCTTAAGAGCCCCAGACCCCTTTCTCCTCCTTGGGGACCCCGGACTTCTTATCAGCCTGACTAGAAATTGACTCTCACTCTCCTGCACTGCTCTGAGAGTAAATTGATCCACCTTTTTGGAAGCAGTTGTGTGGTATGTAAAAGTTTCAAAATTGTGCTTGCCTTTTGATCCAGTATTTTTCCTTCTAGGTATTTACCATAAGGAAGGAAGCAAAGATGTGCACAGGGATATGGCCACAGTGGGGTGCTTTTATCTGCTGTCAGGGAAACTCTTGAACTAGCATGGAGACCTGTTTTGCAGAGCTGCTCAGAAGAAATCTTCCTTTCTTTCCTAGTGCTTTAACATTTAAAACTGTCTCATTACTCACTTTTCTGGTCTAGTTCTTTCTTGAAACTAAAACTTACCTATACAATTTTCCCCACAGGTCCCTTAATATGGACTTTGAAAACCAAGATAAGGAGAAAGACAGTAACAGTTCTTCTGGGTCTTTCAATGGCAACAGCACCAATAATAGTAAGGCATTTTTTGACAATTAACTGTCTACATGTAGTGGTCTTAATTTGATTCTTTCTATAACCCCAATTGATAATTTACTGGGTTTGAGAATTACAGTTGATATAATAATACAGTTGAATCTTTAAGGTATAATTTGTTAAAGTTTTATGTTCTGAATCTGAGCTACAGATTTCTTGTGAAGTCCCTTTAATTCATGCCTCAAACCTTGCAGCCAAGATTCTTTATTTCTTTAAAGACCAGCAAGATAGATGGGTATCTGTCTACTTGTAACTTTTAAGTCCTTTGGTGAGATTGTTAATTTTGTAGGTGTTGATCATAAATTCATTTAAGTGACTCTTAAAGATAGCTACTTGCAATACTTGTAGAACTGTTGTATCTCTTCTGGTACTTCAGATTTTAAAGGATGTTTGCTTTGAAGAAACAGAGGTATGCTATATGGCAAGTGTTCAGCAGCATTATTCATAATAGCCAAAAAGTAGAAGCAACTCAGAGATCAGTAAACTAATTAATGGGATAAGCAGCATACAGTATGTCCACGCAATGGAATGCTTACTATTCAGTATTAAAAAGAATGAATTATTGAAAAATGCTCCAACATAGATGCACGTCAAAACATTGTTAAGTAAAAAAGGCCAGATAGAAAAACTGTGTATTTTAAGAATCCAGTTATATGAAATTTCCAAGAAGACAAATACAGAGAGACAGAAAGTAGATTAGTGGTTTCTTGGGGCAAGGGATGGGAAGGAGAATTAACAGTTAACTGGCATGAGGGATCTTCTTGAGATGAGGACATTCTAAAACTAGATTATAGTGATCCTTTCACACTTGGTGCATGCTAAGTCGCTTCAGTCGTGTCCAGCTCTTTGTGACCTTATGGACTGTAACCTGCCAGGCTCCTCTGTCCATGGGACTCTCCAGGCAAGAGTACTGGAGTGGGTTACCGTTCCCTCCTCCAGGGGATCTTCTGGACCCTAGGATCAAACCACGGTCTCTTATGTCTCCTGCATTTGCAGGCGGATTCTTTACCACTAGTGCCACCTGGGTAGCTTCACACTTGATAATTTACCAAAAAAAATACTGAATTACTTAATACGGGTAAATTTTATGGTATATGAATTGTACTAGAAAGTTGGTAATGCTTATTATAGAAAGTACTACATTAGAAATAAGGAGACTTGATAATATTAAGGGATCAATAATAAGTACCTACCATTCATTTGACATTTATTAGATATTTTGAAAGATGCAAAAAGAGTTAGTACTCAAGCTGTCACATAGACAGTGTGGCCAGAATACTCCCAAGGTGTTAGTAAAGTGCTAGGACAGCAAATACCTTTTCCCCTGTACCTCGAGCAGGTGCTTTTTCTTATGACCCTTTACCATAGCCTCAGAGTCCTTCTGAACCAGCGTCTCCTGTCAGTAGGTCAGAGTAAGCATCAGTGGTGAAGTCATTTTGACATCCATGTACAAAGAGACTGGAGAGAAAGACAAGCCAAGATGGGCAACAGTAGGTCAAGTTAGTAAGGGATTCTCCTGAAGGTGAATTTGATGTGAAACAGTGATCTTGGATCACTGGAAGAGCATAGCATACAGGCGCAGAGCAGGAGGTGAGCACCTGCTATGGTGAAGGCACTATGAGGACAGCAGGGAGCTCATAGTCTCGTTTCCTAGGAAAGAACCCGAGGGCCTAGGTATTCTGTATCATATGTACTAATCCCTAGAACTGTCTGCACTTTGATGAGTTAATGTATTTAAGTCCATGGGCGCAGAGCCTGTTACGTAAGCTGTTAATATGCCCCCTTTCTCTTTCAGGTATCCAGACCATTGACTCTACCCAGGCCCTGTTCCTTCCAATTGGAGCATCTGTCTCTCTCCTAGTAATGTTCTTCTTCTTTGACTCAGTTCAAGTAGTTTTTACAATATGTACAGCAGGTAAATGAGTTCTGCTATCTAGTCTTAACCTTAAAAGGAAATTTTTTAATGTTTTTAAAAATCACTGTTCAAAAATTAAGATTTATACACCACCCCATGCAAGTTTTTCTTCCTAAGTCTTCTTTCTCTCCAAGCTTGTCTGTTCCTCCCTCCACCCCACACCCCCCCCGCCCCAAACCACTTGATACCTCTGTCATCATTTCCAACTCGCCAGCTCAGTCTGGACGAAAGGCTAGGGGTTAAAAACTCAAGAACTTTGTGGCACCAGAGCAGAATTGCTTTGGCTGTGACTCCTTGTCTGATAAGTTACCAGAAGGTCCCGTTTGGTAGAGTGGTTGTTGGCAACCCTTACGCATGCATGTTTCTGCAGATAGAAACACTGAGAGCTAATCACAGTAATTGGGCTGTCAGCTATCTGATCAGTTTTCAAGATGATTGATGGTGGACGTGTATCAATATAAAACATCAAAATGCTATCCTTCAAAAAAAAAATGCTAGCCTTCAATATTTTAAAGTAATTAGCCTCCAATTAAAATAAATTAATTTTTAAAATGCTAGCCTTGTTAGATCATACTCTGGCCTGCTGTTTATCATTTCTTGTTGAGATAGACAAGAAAGAGAAAACCTGCCAATGCTACCCCTACCTCAAATCAGGTATGCAAAGAGGTTATCTCTGTAATGCTAAAGAAAGATACTTTTCTCTAGTTAATTAATATTATTGTATACACTTGTTGAGGCAAGTATTGTAGGCAATAATTATTTCCGTAAGTCATGCCATTTTTCTTATGATTAGTAAAACATTAAACAACAGAATATTAACCATACATTTTCTTTCTCTAGTTCTTGCAACAATAGCTTTTGCTTTTCTTCTTCTCCCGATGTGCCAGTATTTAACAAGGCCTTGTTCACCTCAGAACAAGTAAGGACTTGGGATTTTCCTCTAAACTATTAAGTGTGTATGTTTTTTTCTTTGTACTTGATAGCAATATTAAGAGTACATTTTCTGATACTGACTGAAGCACGAAAATGCCAGAAGACTAGAAAGTGAAATGTTTGATTTTTTAAAACTGGAAAATAGTACTTCTTTTCGCACCTTCTCATAGCAGAGGAAATCTAAACAAATCTTAGGAAGTCAGTCATTGCAGTATGCTTCCTTGCTTAGATTATTTAAAGATGAGCAGTTTTTTTTTATCTTTACTAATTAATAGAATATGAAACTAGTGCTTGACTCAGACATTCTTCCCTTTTGTCACTGATGACCTAGAATATATACTAGCCACTTAGGTTTAATTCTAGTGTTCACACCTTAACTCCTAAAGCTATTGCTTCATGGAAACAAAATGCTATGCTAATGGAGATGCTGTATGTTCTTAGGAAATCAGTTGCTTGGGGTGGCTAATTTTCCCAGGAATTAGTGATAACCAAATAGATGGACTATCTTAATTTTATTCATCTTTGGTTAATGAATTGTTGACTTTCCTCATTTTGTTTTCCTCATAAGAATTAGAAATTTCTCTGTATTTAGATTTTTCAAATATTGATATTATCACTTCTCAATACCCCATGTTGGTATCTGCGATAAAAGGTACATTATCTAATGGGTGCAGAAATGTAATCCTTCTGAACTTTCTGTAGTTTCTTCCAAAGAAATGTGGGTATTTTGGATTTCTGAGTATCTCGGTATTGCCTGCTAATCTGGCCATCATAAATTGTGATCATGGAGAACCAAAGGAGGGTTTGCTTACTGAACATAATTTACTGTCTATTAGTCCAGTCAATGTTGTGTGTTTTCCAGGATTTCCTTTGGTTGCTGTGGACGTTTCACTGCTGCTGAGTTACTGTCATTCTCTCTGTCTGTCATGCTCGTCCTCATCTGGGTTCTCACTGGCCATTGGCTTCTCATGGATGGTAAGTAACTACTGGGTGACAAGTTGAAACTGTAATATCATTTATGGTTAAATTTGTCCTCTCTTCGTCTACTTTCTGTGTTTTAGTAATATATTACTTCTGATTACCTTGAATTATTAGGTCTCCAGAGATAGTGTTTTGTATCAGTTTTAACCCACACTCTTTATTTTCTAATAACAGCTTTTTTGAGATGTAATTCACATATCATACAATTAATATATTTAAAGTGTACAATTCAGTCATTTTTAGTATGTTCAGGGTGGGGCAGCCACCACTTTAGAGCATTTTCACACCGACACTCCAAAACCCACAGCCATTAGCAGTCACTTACCCCAGCCCCAGATATACCCTAGTCTACTTTGCATTTCAGTGAATTAGTCTCTTATGGACATTTTGCATAAATTATATTATATATGACCTTTTTTGTCTCTCCTTTTACTTAGCATACTGTTTTCAAGGTTCATCCATGTTGTACCATACATCAGTACTTCTCTGTTCCTTTTTATGGCCAGATATTGTTTAATTTTATAGATGCATCAATTTTATTTATCCATTCATTAGTTGTTTTCACTTTTTTGACTGTGAATAATGCTACTGTGAGAAATGGAGTACAAATTTTTGTACTTTCTTAATATAAATAGGATTATACTGTAATATAATATCCATATTATATATAAATATGAGGAATATATAATAGTGTACTGATATAAATACATGTCTATATCATTAGATACAGGGTAATAATAGCTAACATTGAGCTGCTGAGTGTTTTACGTGGATTTTTCTCATGAAATCCTGAAAACAACTCTTTGAATTAGGTACTGTTGTTCTTATTTTACAGAAGAGGAAATCAGAGAAGTGACTTTTAGTCTCTTCTTAAGACCCTGTAACCATCTTTGCCTCCTTTTTCATTCATTCCTTCTGTCGTTTTCACAGTTCACTTTAATAATCTCATGAGATTTTATCTAACTGCCTTGCCCCATGAAGTCTGTTCACACTTTCTTTTCTTTCGGTGTTTCAGAAGGGAAGGAAGTTGAAAAACTACAGTCAGTTTTATGCTGTTTTAGCTCATCTATGTCGTAATGTGTATCAACATTGTGTAAAGAATTTTTTAAAGGGAGGAGTTTGGAAAGCAGAGATATGGGTATGGGTGGTACTTCTCCCTCTAACCCATTCTGAGCAACCACAAGACTAACCCAGACCTTGGAACAGAGCTCTCTGAAGGCACTGCCAGGTCCGAGGGGCTCCCCTTCTTGCCAGGCACCATATCCCTGCAGCTGAGAGGACGGCACGCCTGCAGCGGGGCTATCCCTCGGTGTTGTCTCAGCGCCAAGCAGGGTGTGCCTGTGCAGAAACGGCACAGGGCTTCTGTGGGGCAGCTCTACACACCTGCGCACGTGTTCACATCCGTGTTCATTTCTGCCGGTGATAATCTGTAAAACATTAAATATATGTACTTATGATTTTATATAATTTGTTTGTATATATTTGAGGCTGTCCAAGTGCGGGTCGGAAAAGAATTTCCAGACACAGAGCATCTCAGAAGGGAAGGAGTTTATTAAGAACAAAGAGCAGAGCTACTGTGAGCACAATGGGCAGACCTCTGGACAGACCAGGGAGAGTTGACAGTATTCGTGAGTTATTTTTATAGCCTGAAGACAAAGTAACTTCCTGCCAGAGGGTTGGCATTAGGTGGCAGGTTGGGGCGCTACAGGGTGTTTACTAGAGTGGGCATCTTTGCCTAATTGGGCGTCAGGAAGCCTGATGGTGATGATCAAGGGCTTTTGGCAACGGTTACAAAGGGGCGCAATTAGCTTTGGAGGTGACTTTGGTTCTGGGCTCTGCCTCTGTGGCCGTGGTACGAGGCCTCGGACTTGTGGCCTGAATATGACTCTGCATACTTGCTGTCATACTTGTTGTTGAGTACTTTTTTTTTTTTTAAATAGTGCCTACCATAGACCAAGTATGGGAACTCAAAAACAGTTCCTTGAGGTTGCAGATCAAGTTACCGTTTAGACTTACATACAGACCTTTAAATGACTCAGTAGGAAGTCAGAGTCTCAATCACCAGGCCCAGTCTGTGTAGTGACGGACTGATCTCTTGACATGCTTGGTCTCTTGTGGTAGTGCCATATATTGCCTGATTTTTTAAAAAAATTTACTATGATCATTTGCTTCAGTACTTGAATATCCACTGTGCATATAAATATGCATTCTGAAGTGCAGTGTTTAGAATTTTTAAGTGGTTTATGGAACTGCTAAATTTCCCAGATTCAAGTATCTGTGCTTTGAGTATCCTTGTGGATTGGTGGTTGATAACTTAAGTGCTTCTGAAGGTTGATAAAGAGTAAGTTGAGAAGAAGAAATTCCATCCAAAGTCTCCGCAGGGCTTGGCCAGATTACAGCAGAAGGGTAAGAACTGTTTTGTAGCGACTAGAAGTTAGTAGTAGTGTAGCCATTAACTTGGATTTGACTTTTCCTGACATTAACTCCTGATTCCTGCCAAGGGCTGATGGTTAACCAGAAGCAGTATTGAAATTGAGCATGTAGTTGATTTTGAAAGACTTTAATAGAACCTAGTTGTGCTTTAAAATATGTATTATAGAAAATTAAGGAGTGTTGGTCCTGTTAATGATTGGAGTAATGTCAGTCAGTCTCACAGCTGCTTTTGTGATTGTGGCCCTTTAAGCTCATCCAGTCCAGTGCTTCCTGATGAGGAAGCAGACAGACATTTCTCCTCTACTACTTCTGAACAAAACCTTGATATAAATGTTGGTTAGTTGGTTAAAATCTAAACTGGATTATTTCAGTCCCCTATAAAGTGACAGTTTGGGTGATTGTTAGCTACTTATTAAGAGAAAATGTTCTATGATGATGTCCTTAAATGACAGAGCCCGTTCCCATAAATGGCACCCCTAAGTTCATCTACACAGAGGAGAGCTCCAAGCACTGCAGTCTGACCTAGACTCTGGCAGCCACAGTCCCCTACCTGCGACTGGTTAGTCTCCATCCTGGCACTGAGTTGGGGCGGTGATGGTGATGCTTAAACAACCTTGGAGCCTCTAGCCCCTGGGTAGTCTGAGGCTCATTGTAATCCCACTCTAGACTGTCGGTGGCCCTGCTTCATGGAACTGGGGCTTCCCAGGTGATTCAGTGCTAGAGAATCTGCCTGCCAGCACAGGAGACACGAGTTTGATCCCTGGGTTGGGAAGATCCCCTGGAGAAGGAAATGGCAGCCCACTCCAGTATTCTTGCCTGGGAAATCCCATGGACAGAGGAGGCTGACAGGCTACAGTCCATGGGGCCACAAAGGAGTTGGACACAACTGAGTGACTAAACAACAACCGGACACACACAATACTGTTTACAGGTTTTGCTAAGGATTTGAAGTTTACTAAGCTGCTGACCCAGTTTTTAAAACATTAGGTACCTCTCAAAACAGCAAGCAGTGTGTCCTTTATACTCCATTCTCTCCTCTCCTCGAGCATTACATAGGACAGGAAAATACCAAAGTAGTGTGCCTCTAAAAAAAAGAGGTTGGCATGAGGGAAGGTGACTTTCTTTCCAGATAAATTGATTTGCACAGCCATCTGAAGCTCAGTTTTGAAAGCAGTCAGCTGAATGGTCTTCACCACACAGCTGCAGGCAGGGTGGGGAGAGTCCTATTAGACTCTCTATAGGAAGGCGGGGGCAGCAGCTCTCCACAAGCTGTTCTATAGGGGCTGTCTCACCATGGGATTCTTGCCTCTAGAGTCAGTACAAATTGGCCATAAAAAGCAAGCTTTATTTTCCCAGAGACCAAGATCAGAAACAAATTTCCATTGTGAAATGTACCTAATAGCTGAAATTTTTTTGACTGTTCATTTAGGCTTCCCAAACCCTTAGTGGCCCTAACTTGTAAAGTTATATCATTTTCTGTCATTTTTGCTACTTCCCCAAATGATAAGAATCTCGTACTGGTTATACTGGTTAAATTGTCCTTGTGACCAAACTTACAGTTTTCCCTAAAAAAGAAAAAAAGGAGAGAGGCTTTGAACTTTTAGTTGTTTGTTTCTCATATATATCCTTGTTTGATGTGTATGTGACTTGTTTTCTGCTGTTACAGATAAGCTAGCTTGCTAGCCATGCGTCTGTAACATTCTGAAATATGTTCTCCCCTGACATGCAAACTGTCTTTCCAGACTTCTGTGCAGAATCAGGTATCATTTTGTAGGTAGCGATAATGTGGATTTCTTTTAAATGAGTGTTTTTTCAATTAAATCCTGTTTCTTTGAAGTTAATTTACAGTGAAAACAGAATGATAAATGTGGTTATTTTAAAGGGTGAGGCATGAAGCTTATTTTCAGAGTTATTCTGAGAAGCAGTAATATTAAGAAGGTACTTTATAGAGTTTTCTTGAACTAAATCTATAGCTGCTTTTTTACCTACTCAGTTTCCTACTCTTAACAAATTAACCTTTTAAGTTTGGAAGGACTTGAAAGAAGTGGTATGTTTGCAAAGGCTGATGAATCTGGTTCACACATTCCTCGTGCTCAGAGACCATTGAGCCAGGTTCGCACTCTGCGTCCCCTCAGCAGTTCAGGGCCTCGAAGAGCCTGGCAGATAGATGACTCATTGTATGGCACTTGCTGTTCGCCTCGGATTAGAAAATGCTCAATCCCAGAAGTCTAGCAGTGGATCTTTTGCTTTGTTTTGTTTTGTTTTAAAATGCTAGACTGTGGCGCTTGGTCCACATCTGGATTAGCTTTCCAGAAGCCTTTGTCTTAGATGTGAGCACTGCCTAAGACCTTCCAGGCTACACAATCCTTTTAGAGAACATTGCAGCTTGGCTTGGTGTCCTTTTCTTTGTTCCCGGCCCTCCTGGTTGAGAAAGAGAAGGTGATAGAGATTCTATCAATAGTATATTAAAGATAATTATAACTAAAGGGCAGAGATTAATAATTTACCTGTCTAACATTTTTGATTAATTTACATTTAACCAGAAGTTAAATTTGTTGGTAAATCTATTAGGGAAAGTCTTGGGTTTTCTCAGGCAGCATGCAGTGAGGGAAAGTTATCACCTCTGTTCCTTAGAAGAGTCCAGAAGAGGAGGTAAGATTTTTTTAAGGATGAAAGAATGAAGAAGAACGGGCAACTGGATGAATAGTTGAGAGTGTGTTTTGGGGCTGTGACCAGCTGGTGGCACCATTCGGTTGGTGGGAGTGATTGTCATTGAACACACTTGTGTTGAGAACCTTCTCTGAAGTAGTCAGACGGGATGCATGCTGCCTCTTCAAACATGGAACTTGGGAGTCTGGTGGGGAGACTTGGTTGGCATAGTTGGAAAGAGGTTATCGCTCAACTCAGATGGAGAGAAGGAGTCGGTGGAGGAATAGGAACACAAGAGGGGACTTGAGGCCAGGCCCCTGCGGCACAGCACTGTTCTGTGTGTGAGTCGCGCCTCCTCAGTCAGAGGTGACCCATCACAGAGAAGGGGACCTCATGATTTGAGGCAGGGGATGATGCGAACTGATTTTTGACAAGGGCAGTGAAGAGTGTAAGTAGGGGAGAGAGAGAAAATGGGGACGGATACACATAGCACAGCAGGAGGTGTGGGGAATCCTGACTGAGGTGTGCAGTGGCGTAGAGAGGAGCACCCCAGATGGCGGCAGCAGCCTGTGCGTGCGTGAGGAGGGTTGTGATAAGTCCAAAAGGAGCGCAGGGGTTCTTTCCTTGAAGATGAGCGATAGGATGATTGTGTGGAGTCACGAAAAACCCTGGCATTGAGCAGTTCTGCCTTGTCCCCTTTATTTAGACCCAGGTGGGGAGGATGAGCATAAAGGAGTGACTTGACTGGAACAGCGTCCTTAAGGAAGTGAAGAAGATGTGGTCTAGGGTGTGGCTTTAAAGGAGTAAGAGCAATGCAGTGAGGTGGTGGGGGAGGCAGGAGACAGAGCTGGGAGAGCTGGGCTTGGCCTAGAGCTTTATCATTCAAAACAGCCCTGTGGGTCTTAGTTGACCACCATCTCCAGCATGAGGAAAGGGGTTTTCCCAACTACCAGGAGGCCAGAATGGGCTGAGGCGGGCACGTTGCACTAGTTAAGTGTAAACACCTCACCTGGGGCTTAGGGCTGAGGGACTTACAAGTTCTCTTAGGTTTCCAAGCTGAATGGCGTGTGGAGGGAGGCTGTGCCTGTGCTCCGCTCTGACCACCATCTCCTCCCCAGCCCTGGCCATGGGTCTCTGTGTCGCCATGATCGCCTTCGTCCGCCTGCCCAGCCTCAAGGTCTCCTGCCTGCTTCTCTCAGGGCTTCTCATCTACGATGTCTTCTGGGTGAGTGTTTCCCCAGAGCTGCTGCTCTCCTTCAGGTCTGATTGGAACATTCACTCCTGAAAATGTACTCAAAACCCCAAGTCTGCTGGCCAGGGTACCTCCTGTCCAAAACCACTCCTCCAGGCCGGCACTGCACCTGTTGGATGATGAGTGGGCCTGTGTGCATGGAGACCTGTCAGTGTAGAGAGTCCGCAGGTGACTCTTAGGTGAGGAGGGAGCACAAGTCTCTCTACCCTGGAGAGAAGCAAGGCTCTCAACCCTGGAGCATGGCCAGCTCAGCTCTCAGGGCTCCCTCTCTGGGTGTGGAGAGAAGAAATCTGCAGCACACACAAGAGCAGAGATCTTTCCTCGAAGCGTGCAGTCTGAAAAGCCTGATGCTGCAGTCCTGAGACTCTGCTCTCAGGAACAAAGAGGGCTGGTGCTGAGATCGGGGTGCCTCCAGTTCCCTCTGGTAAAGGTGACTCTCTCCTGGCAGGTGTTTTTCTCCGCCTACATCTTTAATAGCAACGTCATGGTGAAGGTGGCCACGCAGCCAGCTGACAATCCCCTTGATGTCCTGTCCCGGAAGCTCCACCTGGGGCCCAACGTTGGACGCGACGTCCCGCGCCTGTCTCTGCCTGGAAAACTGGTCTTCCCCAGGTAGGACTGGTGGCCTCGTCTCGGGAGGGTGAGGACCCCGCCCTCCTCTGCCCCTCGGGTCCCCACTTTGTCGTCGTCGTCATCAGCATTCTGATGCTGGACCAAGAAAGGGTTGTGAATCATCTCCACCTTACAGATGACAGAACAGGAGTACTGACAACTCCCAGAGATGGGTCATTAAGTGATGTGGGTGCAGCTTGTTAATAATTGATTAATGTTATCAAACAGCCACACGTTACTGCTGTACTGCAGTTTAAAGTTGGCTAGAGGGAATTAACAGGAGGATCTGGGTCTTTTTTTTACTTTTCCAACATTTGTAAAAATGTGTTAATGCTAAAATTACAGAGTCCCTGGAACTATAATCTTGGAAAAATTAATGTGCTGCTTTCATCTCCCATGTCTGGTAGTAGTCGGGTGCTTACTGGAAATCTCAGCAGTGAATGTGTGACACATGGTGAGTTGACATCTCTAGAGGCGGCAGCACTACACGGACGCTTTAGCAGCTGCTTAGGTGGTGCTGTCCCAAAGCGCTGGCTGCTGCAGACCCTTCTTCCAGTACTCTAGTGGCGTTCAGTCTCCACACTCCTCTAACAGCCAGTGCTGTTAGACCAGGATCGATTGCCATCAGCCGTCAGATAAATTCTTTGGCTTCTTAAAAAGCGAACAGACCTTGAGCAGGAGGAGGAGTGGGGAGGTAGAGGGCAAACCCCTGACATGTGACCCTGCATTCCAGCTCCACGGGCAGCCACTTCTCTATGTTGGGCATCGGAGACATCGTGATGCCTGGACTCCTCTTGTGCTTCGTCCTGCGTTACGACAACTACAAGAAGCAAGCCAATGGTGACTCCTGCGGTGCCTCCGGACCCGCCAACATCTCCGGGCGCATGCAGAAGGTTTCCTACTTTCACTGCACCCTCATCGGATACTTTGTAGGTAAGAGAACCAGGGAGGCTGCATGCGATCCCCTCCCTGACTGTCCTCCAAGCGCTGGAGTTAACCCAGATCTTGGAGCTACAGATGCTGGAGGAAGAAGAGCAGTCACTCAAGTTGTTGTTATAAACAACCACAAAGGGGAAAGCAACACCTGACCCCAAGGTTAGGCCAGCAGCCTCGTTCCCTATCCGCTAATAGTATGTTTGAGGGACATTGTAGGAGAAATGTGGTCAGGGCTCAGACTAAGAACACCTGCCCCACGGCAATGGAGCAGTGTGTGTGCTTAATTACATCTTCAGCGTGAGTTTAATGGATGTCATGTTTATTTCCTGTGCTGCTTGACAGATATTTCCCTTCATCTGCTCTTAACATTTCCATCACCTCTGACCCGGACTCTCCCTTGACTAGTGTTTCTCTAGCCAGCTGTTTCGGCTGGACGGGGAGAGATGGTTGTGTGTCTGCCCTGCATGAGCTGCGAGAGCGATGGAGAGGAGCACCTTGCTCACCTCGGTGCCTCCTGCTGAGGGAGCACTGCACAGTTCCATGGCGCTTGCCTAGGCCTGCGCTCATTTCCACGCCAGCAGCTCCCAGTGGGCCAGGGCCACTGCCCTGAGGCTCAGAGATGTGCACGGTCACACGGCTGTCACAAGCAGCAGGGTTAGAACTTGAACCCAGGTCTTTTGCCTCCAACTCTGTCGTCACCCAGCTTCCCAGTGGCACTAGTAGTAAAGAGCCCACCTGCCAATTCAGGAGACATTAGAGATGCAGGTTCCATCCCAAGTTGGGAAGATCTCCTGGAGGAGGACATGGCAACCCACTCCAGCATTCTTGCCTGGAGAACCAAAGAGTCGGACACAACTGATGCAACTTAGCATGTCCACACGCCTGTCGTCATCATATATGTTGGAGACAGGGAGACCAGGCACGCTGGGGGCTGAAGTGAGGCCTGGAACCAGGGACTTGGCCACTTACAGGTCCTGGGAATTCTTAGTTTTTAAAAAGCTGTGCTGCTCCCTGTTTCTTTCCCTGCTCAAGCTAGGCATGTTACTCCCTACCACTGGAGGGAGTGTCACATTAGAGCTGTACAGTCTCAGGACCGTGCGGCGAAGCCATCGGGCAACAGAGGCTCTCTGCCCTCGGGCTGGCCGCTTGGAGTTACTCACCAGCGCCTCTCTCCCCGCAGGTCTGCTCACTGCGACTGTGGCGTCTCGAATCCACCGAGCAGCCCAGCCTGCCCTTCTCTACTTGGTTCCGTTCACCTTGCTGCCACTGCTCACGATGGCCTATTTAAAGGTGCGAGAGGCAGTTATAAGCCAGTGCAAGCAACAGTATGGCATTGACCCTGGACTTGGCTGGGCATTCCCCTTGCTTCAGACCCTAAGCTCTTGATCTTGGGATCTTTGTGTGTGGGGGAGGTGGATTTCATTTTTGCTAACCTAGTATTAGCAACCTCTTCCAGATTGTTAACAGCCATTGGCTGAAAAGACTAATGAGTTAGACCCCTCACCACCTAGTCACGGATTACCCTAAAACCCTGCCATAGAGACTTCTGTTTCTCTTAAAAGCAGCGTGCTGTTGCCACCTAATAGCTCTTTTAGTACTCTGCATTAAAGTTTGGAAATAAGAAATATAAAACCTGAGGGCCTTATCTGATTTACAAGGTTTATACTACCACCCACATTTTACAGACAAGGAAGCAGACACAGAGGTTAATATGAGCCTGGATCATTTGACTCACAAGTGGTTGAACTGCCCCCAGGACAGAGTCAGAGCCCTTTCCTGCTGTGAGGGGCAGGGACGGCCAAGAGCCCTTCTATCAAGTTCTTCGAAGAACTGGGAGGTTACTTTTCAGTGAATAAAATGTGAATGTTCTTTGATTCTGCACAGAAGCAATCTGCTCTGAGGTCAGGAGTCAGGAATGGCTTGTACATAGATAGGTGTGCCTCAATCTGAAACATGTGGCTAAAGTTCTGTCTTTCCCAGGGTGACCTACGGCGAATGTGGTCTGAGCCATTCCACTCCAAGTCCAGCAGCTCCCGATTCCTGGAAGTATGATGGGTCACAGCGGGCAACCAGAATGGCCTCTCAGTCCTTCTCTGTCAACGTGTGGTCTGTTTCCTCTTAGAGCTGGCCTGGTACTCGGAGATGCACCTGTGTGAGGACTGCCATGTGCCCAGATTTTGCATTTTTGGGAGCGAGGTGCTGGAGCCTGCGTGGTTCCTTCTCTTCCTGCCGCCGGAGAGGTGGAGCCCCTCCTGGAGTGACAGGTCCTCCCCCACCCCCCAGCGCTCCTCCCTCCCCCGTTTTTATGGATCTGCACCAGACTGTTACCTGTGGGGGACGGAGATGTGACTGTTGAAACTGACAACAGCAAGGAGTCGTTCTTTATCTTTGAACACTAAAAGGATGAAAACCTTAGCAAACTGGTTTCTTCAGTGAACCCTCAAGAACTTTGGGACCAGTTTCCTATGGGGGACTCAGTTTCAGAGAACTGAGACAGAAGCTCTTCTGTCGTTATATTCTTCTTTCCTTTTTTTGGATTTATTAAATATTTTCTGTGGTGTGAAGTGACTTATTAAATCCACAGACATTGAGTGACTTCTTACAACATACACATAAGAATTTGTTGTAATGAGTTCATGTCCACCCAGACGTCGTGTTGGCAATGAACGAGGGCACGGTTTTTATACGTACATACACACCCACATGCACATAGATATATATGAATAAACAAATTAAAACCCGCTAAGCTCATGCTGTGTAGCAGACAGGGGCTTGCTGTAATTTCTAGCATGTAGAGCAGTTCACGCTGGCTTCCTTGTATACAGACAAGCTGCTGTCTCTCCCTCCACAACTGAACGTGCAGTTAAAAACCAGTATAGTATTTGTACTGATAGACTCATGGACTATAGGGGACTCTCATTTGGTTTTGATCAGTGTAGCAAATTAGGGATGAAAAGTTAAAACTTTTTGACCCGTTGTTTTGTTTTGTTTTGTTTTTTTACAGGCTTCTTCCTCGCAGGGTTTTCAGTAGTTTCTTCTTGAACCGATGCATGTATTATAGCAGCAGGTGTCTCTGTGCTTTCTGATCATAGTAATGTACTACTTGTAAATACATTTTTCTATTTTCTATTTTTTTTTGTATTTTTTTTTTTTTTGGCCTTTTGTTTCATTGGTGTGCTGTATTTTCCATGCCCTCACTCCTTTAAGAAAAAAAAAGGAAAAAAGCAACACGAGCCTGTCCTTGCTGTTGTGATTACAGTCTTGGTTTCCCTGTGGTGACAGCTGGGTACTGGGGACAAATGTCAAACGCGCCCCCCCAGAGTCGGGCCCTCCGTTGCAGGAATCGCAGCCCGAGCTTGGGGCTGTGGCACCGATTGGGGGGCCAGCGTCCAGGCGGTGATTAGTGTGAGTGGCGTCCGCGGACTGATGGGGGAATGGCCTGTCATCTGGATCGAGAGAAGCCGGGGATGGGCCTGTACAGCTGAGAGCACAGGCTGGAGTGGGGCCCCATGGCCGGAGGTCACGGGGTGTGGCGTTCACAGAGGGTGGTGCACGTGGCCATGTGCATGGTGCTCCATGTCTTCAGGCCCCACTGAAGGCTGTTTGGTTCTATTGTTTTGTTGGTTTTTTGTTGTTTTTAATAAGTGCCTCCTTTCTAGCCTTTGTTACCTCACCTTCACTTTTGGGTGTTGGTACCAAGCGGAGTTCCCGTCACCACCTACCTACTCGGCCCATCCAGGAGACCTGCGGTGTTTCCTGCAGCTGTGGTTCATCGTGCACACGTCCCAGGACAGAGGCTTCCGCTGTCCACACAGCTCCCAGCAGCCTCTGGGTTCACCGGAGACTGGGAGTACACGGTGCAACCCCTGCTGAGGAGCCGGCCCTCTTCCTTAAGCCCTCAAGGATGCTGGTGGCAAACCAGGGGGCGGGGCGAGAGGTGGGGGGACTCTTCCACAGTGACCCTGATGAAGGACAAGTGCCAACCGTAGTCAAAAATAACCTCCTGGCAATTGGTCATTTTCATTTTTCTGACTTCATTACGAAACTAAATTCCAGACAGAAGGTAAATTTCTGTCATCACTCCTGTGCAGGTTTAATGGGTGGGATACCCATACAGGACTCCTGAATATAATCCGGATTCCAGCTGTAGTCTGCAGAGCATTTGAAACTTTGACAGAGTGACCACAAATGTTTCTTTTGTTTTAAATTAAGCCCAGGAGCCACACCAGAACATGCCCAGTTCTGGAGGTGGTGTGGTCTTCTGACAGGGAAAGGTGCGGGGCGGGGTGCAGTTAAAGTGCATGCTTCCAGTTTCTCCTTCCAGTCTCCCTCTCAGCCTTGCTTGATACACTTACATCCTGGTCTTTTCCTGGTTTCTCAAATATTATTTGAGTTTCAGAGTTTTCTGTCTAAGAAGTCTCTTGCATTAATTAGGCAAGGGATGTTGGCAAAGTTCCATCGTGGACTGCCCCCCTCTCCCCCAGTCTGGTGATCTTTTTTGTGCAATGAGTCTGTATGTGAACTCCCACTAACTTGCAGTCACTTTCTTCTTTCTAATTTGAGCTAATGGGGACATGACAGCAGTTTATCCAAAGCCTAGCACATCCCATTACTATTATTACCACTTAGGCTTTTTCTGAATAAGACAGCTACACAGTTCCCTGTGTAGGAGTAGTTCAAACTGGGGAGACTCTGCAGGGGTGCAGCAGGCTACTGTGTGAACTGCCTTTGTAGCATGCCAGCACATGCCTTGGTTAAGCAGGTAGGTTGTGTTACCCGGAAGAAAAACAAAAGGACTAGTTGTCTGTGAGGGTGGAGGGAAGGGAGCTCTGTTTCACTGATAGTGTTAAAAATAGAATCCGCTGTGCCTGTGTAGCAGTGCTCACGGCACCGCCAGCCAGATCCAGCGTCGTTCACAGATGTTGTTTTGTAACGTCTGATGTGTCACAGCCTCGGAATGTAGCAGTGTGGTGCATACGTGAATGTCAGCTGTGCTGTTCTCCTCCACAGAGGCCGGCCTGACAGGCAGGCTGAGGAGACCAGCCCGCTCGGCTCCTGGTCCTCCAGTGCATAGGGGCCCGGACAGCCTCCTCCTTTCACTCAGTCCCATTGCTTTGGCAGTTCCCAGCGATGGAGTCACTTCAGGAACCAGGGCTCCTAGCACCAGCGCCAACCTGCCACAGAAGTTTGTACTGAAGAGCTGTGACTCTAGAATCAGAACCCGGGCCCTCCCCTCTTCTCGGAGGGATAAGCCAGGTAAGAGACTTTCTTGTTTTTGTTTTAATCCAGAAACTCCACTCCCACGCAGCTTACACACTGCGTTCCACTTGTGAGGTTTGACTTCTCCAGGCTCGGAATCCAGCGTCTGGTGTGTGGCACCCTCCCAGGACTGTGTCAGCCATGACTGTTTCCTCCCCAACCTTTTCCTTGGAATGCAAAGCCCTTTGCCTCCGTTTGAGGAAGTTCAGTTACGTTTCAGTTTCAGCTGTCAGTCACTAGGTGCTCCTTGAACAGAACCAGACACCTGATCCCACTCTTGTGGTCTAAGGCCAGCCTTGCTTCAGCTCACCTGGCGTGTGAGGCAGGTGGGTGGTGGGCATTCCCCCCGTGAGGTGGGTCTGCAGCCATAGCTCTCCGTGCACGACTGTGGGCCTGGCCAGGAACGCCGATCCACAAGGCTGGGCGTGCCGGCCAGGAGGAGGTTGGAAGCAGGGTGGGGAGTGCTCCTCTGTCCTGATGGACACAGGCCAGCCCTGGGCCAAGGGTCTCCCTGCCCACGGATCGTGGGCAGAGCCTCGTGCCCTGCTGTGGAGATCTCACTCCGTGCGGCGCTCTTCAGCGGTGACCCTTAGCTGTGCAGTGGCACTCTTAGATACCGGAGTTAGTGGAGATGGAGGTGGAGGACTCCGGCTGAGAGATGGACTCTGCCCGGTCACTTTAAGATCCAGGAAGTCTGCCCCCTGTTGGGTAGAACCTGTGAAGCCTGCCGCTGGTTCCCAGATGAACAGAGGCTCTGAGGGTCCTTAGATGCGGGGGCAGGGTGCCTGGGCTTCCTCCAGTGCCCACTGGACCCCAGGAAGACAGAGTGGGGAGGCTGAGGGGAGTGAGGAGGTCTGCCAGGCAGTGTGCGCAGACTTCTGTCTTGTGAGGAGTGAGAGGCAGGAAGTGAGTGTCTAGAGGACAAAGGCAGAGGGCAGCGTGGGGTGGAGGGCCCCCCGGCCGGCATTCCAGCCCCGGGGTTCCGGGGTCCTCGCCCCTGGCAGGTTACGCGTCAGCCTTCCAAGGAGAGCTCACTGGATCCTCCCGGGCGCGGCTAGCTCGTGCACTGACTTGCGGCAGCCGAACCTTTTCTGTCGGAGGCAGTGGAGTTTTGCACACTTTGGGTCAGCGTTGTGGCTTGTTTTCAGTTTTCTCCCCCCGAGTGTAGGGTAGCTGTGCCCAGCCGTGCAGGCTCACAGGGGAGGGCAGGAACCTGGCTTCAGCAGAGGGGATGGAGGACTTGGTCGTATGGGAGGAGCGGCCCTGGCCTCTGAGCTGATGGCGCGTTTGCAGGCGCGTTCTGGGTCTGCGTCGTTCCGTGTCACCTGCTAGGTCTCCCTGCCTCCCTCTGTCCTTCACTGAGCTCTCCTGCCAACAGGCCTTCCCGGGAGAGCTGACCCGGGCTTGTGGGGTGGGAAGAACAGACAGAACTTGGTGCCACAGTGGGGGCTAGGTGACGACTCTGGCTTCTGACCTGAAAACAATTAATTGCCACAACTAAGATCAGGAAAAGATAGGGAGTCTTGCTCTAGTCAGTAGAGTAACTAAAGCTCAGAAGATGGGGATGAAAGCATGTTGTTATTGTTCAGTCACTCAGTTGCGTCCGACTCTCTGCGACCCGATGAACTGAAGCCCGCCAGGCTTCCCTGTCCCTCACCATGTCCCGGAGTTTCCTCAAATTCATGTCCATTGAGTTGGTGATGCATCCTCTGCCACCCTCTTCTCCTGTTGCCTCCAGTCTTTCCCAGCATCAGGATGAAAGCATAGAAATGGTATTTAAAGCCTTGGGGGATATATTCATACAAACTGCACTCAGCAGTGACAGGTCAGAGAATCGCTCCCACAAGATTGTGTGTGTCAAGGCACCTGGCAGCACGTGGCCCTCACGGCCACACAGGGCCTTCCTCGATGACAGAGCTCTTCGGAGCCTTAGTTTCTCAGTCTGGAGTGGGAATAAAGGGGCTTTATTTGAAGTATCGCAAGAATATTAGGCACCATTCAGGTTTACTGAGTTTTTCGTGTACTCCACAGACAATTTGCCAGTCTTCACGGAGTTAAAATACAATTTTAAAAAATCAGATTTAAACAGACACATTTCCATTATTCAGATGACCACAGCTTCTGTAATACTTCCAGCTCATCACTGAGGAAGCTGGTTGCTCTTCCCCTGTTGAGGGGTGAAAGCCCCACCTTCCTCGTCTAGGCTTTCGGATCTCAGTGGTGGCTGGATCGACAGCAGGGCCACTGCCGTGAACCTAGGCCAGTCCAGGGTCTTGAGGAGAGGTGCCCCACATCCACATGTCCTGCGGTGTCTGGACGCGTGTCCGCCTCCACAGCTCCTCCGAGGAAGGGCCCAGGGGCCACCCTGGTCAGGTGTGAGGAGCAGCAGGAGGGAGCCCTTCCGTAAGAGGTCACCTCAGGCCTTAATCGTCTCGCAGCCCCATCTGAGCCGACTGCTCACAGCAGAAGCAGGAAGTGTCCTCACGAGAGGACCCAGGGGGCCAGTGAGGGGTCCTGGGCTTTGTCCTGGCAGGAACTCAACTGGGGGCTGGTCTGCCGAACAGATCCTTCACACTGTGGGGCTTAAAGCCAAGCATATAAGCATATCAGCCTCTGACCGGGTTCTGCAAACAAACCAATATTGACATATTTTTGCCCAGTGTTAACATTTTTATTTTTCTATCCTTTTGATTAGCTTTTTCATAATTAATGCTGTCTCTGCACTCTTACTTCGTTGTACTTTACAGATCTCTCTGTTTTGAGGGAAGAGGTAACTGTTCTACTGTAAAGCTCCTGGTCAGTCATCGTGGGCCTTAAATCTGAAAGCTTTTCTTAAACACCCTTTGTAACAGAAGACTCGATGGACCAGACTCCCAGCCTGTTTGCAAATAGAGCAGTGTCATCATAAGCCTCTTGGCGCAAGTCAGTCCACAGATGGGAAAAAAGAGACCAGGCTGGGTGGAGGTTGCCGTCTTCTCTTTGAATACTCATTTTTATTGGTGTGAAGGTGCTTCACAGTGTTGTTAGTTTCTGCTGTACGGCAAAGTGAATCCGTCATACATGCGCATGTCCATGTATCTGCTCTTTCTGGGCTTTCCTTCCGACTTAGGTCACTGCCTAGCACTGAGCAGAGTTCCCTGTGCTATACAGTAAGTTCCGGCTCATTGTCTGTTTCAGACATAGTAGTGTTTATAGGTCAATCGTAATTGGCCAGTTCATCCGCCTCTCCTTCCCCCTTGATAACTTGTTTGTTCTCTACACCTGTGGCTCTTTCTGCTTTGCCAGTAAGTTCATTTGTACCGTTTTTCTAGATTCCACATATAAGCAGTGTTAATCTTACTTTCTGACTTACTTCCCTCTGTATGACACTCTCTAGGTCCATCCAGAGCGCTGCAGATGGCGTTATTTCGTTCCTTTTTATGGCTGAGTGATGTGTTGTATAGATGTACCACATCTTTATCCATTCGTCTCTCAGTGGACACCTAGGTTGCGTCCAGGTCTTGTCTATTGTAAATAGTGCTGTAGTGTACATCGAGGTGCATGCATCCTTTCAGATTATGGTTTTCTCCAGATAATATCCCCAAGAGTGTGATTACTGGGTCATAAAGTAGTTCTGGTTTTAGTTTCCTAAGGAACCTCCAGACAGTTCTCCGTAGTGCCTGTACCAATTTCCCTTTCCCACCTATAGTGTAGGAGGCTTCCCTTTTCTCCTCACCCTCTCCAGCATTTTATTGTTTGTAGACTTTTGATGATGGCCATTCTGACTGGTGTGAGGTGATAGCCTCGTTATAGTTTTGATTTGCATTTCTGTAAGAATTAGTAACATTGAGCATCTTTTTGTGTGTCTTTTGGCCCCTCTAAATGTCATCTTTGGAGAAATGTCTATTTAGATCTTCTGCCTATTTTTGAATTTTTTTTATATTGAGCTGCACAAGCTTTTTGTATATTTTGGAATTACACCCTTGCCAGGTGCTTTGTTTGCAAATAATTTTCTCCCATTTGAGGGCTGTCTTTGTTTAGGATTTTAGTTGCTGTGCAAAAGCTTTTAAGTTTAATTAGGTCCTTTTTGTTTTTATTTTCATTGCTTTTGGCGGTAGATCGAAAAAAATCTTGGCTGTAATTTATGTCAGAGTATATTTTCCTGTTTTCCTCTAAAAGTTTTATAGTATCTGACCTTACATGTAGGTCTTTAATCCATTTTATTTTTGTGTATGGTGTTAGGAAGTGTTCTAATTTCATTGTTTCACTCGTAGCTGCCCAGTTTTCCCAGCACCACTATTGAATAGACTGTCTTTTCTCAAGAAGTCCACTCTTAATAAAAGATGTCAACAAAGCATTTGGAAGAGTCTCTATCCTCTAGGTTAAGGTGGGGAAATGGGGGCATACAGGGTATCACTGATGAAGCAGATTGATTAACTAGTTGAATGACCCTGTTATCCCAAAGGTTCTCGCCTTTGTCCCCAGCCCTGCCCAGCACATCTCTTGATAATTTGACTTCGGACACAGCTTAGCAGCTTGGGGTTGGATGTGAAGCAAGGAGAAAGACCATAGCCATGAGCCACAGAGAGCCCCGAGGCGTCGGACGGGGGTCAGATCAGACACGGGGACGTTTGGTGTTGAGACGAGAGCCACACACTGACACCAGTGACAGCGCCCAGGGGTCCCCAGTTTGACGGAGGACTCACCTGAGATCAGCACCTGGTAAGTGGCCTAGGGAACTGTCAACACAGGTCTGTGACCTTAACCACTGTCCTCCCTCCCCTCACAGCCCCCACCCTCAGGAAACAGAGAGAAGTCATTACACGCTCTGCTGGCTCGGGGCCTACTCCTTGCTCACAAACGTTTTCAGTCCGACCACTGCCCATAGGAATCAAGGACTGTTACAGCCACCTCTGTCGTCTTCCCAAACCCAAATCCAGTGTGTATTCCACACTGTAGGCCAGAGTGGTGGTCAGTCATCTCAGACTTGTAGTTAAATCTCACGATAGTGTGGGCAGGGCAGATTTTATTACCCATGTTATAACAGACAAGGAGGTTCATGGTCAGCTAATTTGCCCCAGATCTTCCTGCCTCCAGAGCCTGAGCTCATTATCAGAAGGTAGTCACACCCGCGTTTTATTTGACTTAAAGTTTCTGTAAACAGGGAAGGACTGTGCCAACAACTTCCTACTGGAAGTGGGGAAACCACTGACCCTCTGAGGCAGGGAGGAGCCGGGGTCTGGTTGCCTGAGCCTCCTGCTGGCGCAGCTGCTGCCCACAGGGGTGTGCAGGCCTACCTCCCTGCCCGGAAGGCTCACTAAGCTGGGACACTCGCTGCCCCACAGGGGCCAGGACACGTGCCTCCTGGCACGCCACAACCAGACTTCAGGGTTCCTCATTGCTGTCATTAAAACAGCAAACCGTAAAGCTAATGAAAACGACTGTCAGCTGCTGTTCCGATCACCAGTAGTGGTGGGCTGTAATTCAGGCCAATCCTGCTAAAAGTAAGATGAAATGCCAAAACTACCTTTTGAAAAGCAATGGAGAGGCTTCTGCTGCTGCTAGTGATGAGAGAACAACTCCTGTTTCATCCAACCCTGCCACAAATGACAGCTATAAATTCTCAACAAAATGCAGAAACAACCTTAAGGCAGGGTAGGACAACCAAACTCAGGAGAAGCGAGGGGAGCTGACGGTTGGAAGTGAATGGCACCGAGTGAGTGCCCACTTATGGCTTTTTGCCTGAAGACAGGCCCCAGGGGGCACTATGTGGGGTAGTTAAAACTCTGGCTTCACAGCCCCACAGCCTGTGTACAAACTCTGCCCGACGCTATCATCTGTAAATACACACCCACAGAGCAGACTCCAAGCAGCCGGCTAAAAGAACTAAAGGGAAGTTCTCACAGGAGAGCCAGAGTGTGAAGTCTGAGTTCAGCCCAGTTGACTGCCTGCTTTAAAAGTACTCTTCAGGGGAGGGAGGTGGCAGCGGGAGGTTCAGGAGGGGACATACATGCACACACCTATGGCTGATTGATGTCGAAAAGATACATAGAAATAGAGTTTCTACAGTGTATTATTAACAATAGCCAGGCTGTAATTCAGAATCACTGTG